CCATCAGAGGTGGACCCAACCCTGGTCGATGTGACACGTCACATAGTTCAGGACGAGCTCAAAGAGATGAAGGATCAAATGGGCCCATGGGCCAATTTGCATCATATGCAGCCCATATGGAGCGGCAGAATCAGCAACTCACCGAACAGGTGGCCATGCTGTTGAATACGCTGCATGCTCGGAGCGGGGAGTTTATTCCCAAGGAATCCCCGCAGCATCCACATCCTCCGCCAAGTTTAGCAAGATTCGAAGGTGCTGGGATGGAAGAACACAAGAGGGCTATGAATCGATCAAGATCGCCGATGACGAGATCTACACCGGAGGGTGCCAAGAAGCCGAAGCACGATCACCTCCCAGTAGAGGACCCGGTGAACCATGCAGAAGTCAAGCACCTCCTGACAGGTGTGTCAGAAGAAGCTCAGCGTTATTTCCTGAAAAATATGCAAAACGAGCCAGAGAAGTTCCCTACTATGACCAAGGTCCGGGAGCTCATTCAGCAGATCAAAGGGGCAGAACAGAATTACAGGGAGACCCTGTTGACGGAAGAGGGAAATGGCCTGAAGCGTTCCTTAGCCCTGGTGCCTTTCGGAGTGCCTGGTCGTCTGCTTGCCGGCAGGCCTCCTGGTACGGGCGACACTTCAGAAGGCATCATCTCCGATGGCATGGACGTTCCTGTCCCAGGGGCGGCTCTCAGCGATTTGGATGCATGATTGAGGGCATCCAAAAAGAATCTGTTGACCATGCTGGTCATAGTGCTTTGGTTGGGTTCGAAGAAACCTGCGATGGAGCTCTATGCTTGCCGATTGCAGCTGGAGGCTGCAACCTGTGTCGACATTCTGAAAGTTTTGTTTCACCACCTTTCTCTGAGACTTTTGGGGTATGTCTCATGGATGAGTTTTCAGTTCCCTCAACTCTACTCTTTGGAGGGGATGAAAAGAGTGATTTTTCAAGGGGTGACCCGAAGACTGAACGGTTTCAGAGCAGTGAGCCATATGCTTCTACGCAACATTGGAGCTTGAGTGGATTGAGCTCCGATCTTTTCCTTGGGATGGCTCGCTGGTCTTTGATGCAACTCTTCTTTGTCTCCTGGTCCCTGTGCATCATCCGTGCTTTCCGGCGTCTTGGTGAAGTTGGAAGGCATCTTGGTGAGCGACTATGTCGAAAGGACAGACTTTGTCTCTTGCCACCAATTGGGATGCTGTGGAGTGTAGTCTCTGTTTTGGGGACGAGTGCAATGGTTTGTTTCTTACTCCTTGAGAGTGTCCACGAAATTCGGGATGACCCTTTATGTGGTGTGCATATCCTACGGGGTCTCAATATATGTCAGAATTGCGGGATCCTTTTCTGCCTTGTTGGGATATTTTTGCGACATCGCTTTGAAGAATGTCTTGGTTTTCCTGGCAAGTGCAGAACGATCAGCAAAAGCAGATGCAGAGCTGCCTCTTCTCGGAAGTCTGGCTATAGAAAGACCGGGATCTTCCTTCTTCTACTTGTTTGTCAGTCACATGTTGTGGATAGCTATGCAGAACAGAGAGCTAGGCACTTTGCATCACAAGAGACAACGACTACCTACCAGAGTGACTGTTGTCCGGAAGGATCATGGACTCCCTCTTTGTCTTGTGGGGGGTCCTTTGATGCACCTTGCCGTGATGAATCGGCAACAGAAGACTTCGCCCTTCTTCGAGGCGATGCTCCGGAAAGACTTTTGCTCCGTAGAGCTGAATCGGAGGATTTTGACAGCTCACATTTTGATGCTTCTGGCTGCACAAGTTTGGTAGAAGCATGTAGTGAGGACTACCGCAATGAGGATCCAGTCAGCCTGATGCAAGTTGGACCGCCAACAGAGGACTTGGTCTCTCTATACATCCGTGAGACAGTGCAAGCTAGAGCTCCGGTTGTGGTGAGATCTTGGTACCATCCTTGGGACCAGTTTGGACGGCTGCAGTCAAACATTCGTGATTTGCATTTTGACTTCCAATTGCCGGGTGCGGCCGTTGTACGCAGTCCATGGGGGAGGATTCTTGGCAGGAGGAGTTGCATGGTAACACCTGTCAGGCCACCACCGTATGATTTTGGGCTTGCTATGCCACATTTTCTGGTGATTGCTCCTGGTGATCCACGGTATGTACCGGCATTAGTTGAATATCAAGATGCACAACAAACCCGAAGAGGAAGTTTCATCTTCCAAACCATTGTCTTCCCACCTCTGTCGTGGTTTTTCCAGCAAATTGAGCCCTTCAATCAGTGTGTATGGGCCACGGAGTGCACAATTACCGTAGGCAATCATGCTGCTGCCAGGCTATACACATGGGGCGAACATGTTCCATTGTATGAAGGGATCTTTCTGGTTCTGCGTGAAAGACAGATCTTACGAGCAGGGGGTGGAAATAATGATGATGATGGTGCTTCCTCTTTTGGAACTTCTACATCATGCGGGACAGGTGAAAACGACGGCACTTCGGGCCTCTCGGGTATTTCCTGTGGAAGCTGTGAAGAACCAGAAGAAGATGATAGTGTTCTGATGCACCTGTTCACGCAAGCAGAGACTGCTATCACCGAGGTTGCTCATGAGCCCTACTTTCCACACTCACAGTCTCACTTTGGCATTGTACATGCTGGTCGATCTGATTCCGCGGGACCAGATGTAGTCCGGCTTTTTTGCAAGTGATAGGCTTGGATTGCCAAGCAACCTTGTGACAACTGTGTATGTGTGGGGAGTGACCAGGCCCCATTTTACAGTTGCCTATTTCGCCAGAAGATGTGCTTGGGTCCCTGACAAGTCATTCACAAAGGTCTTGCTTAGTGAACTGGAAGATCTTACTGGCTTTGATGTATGGGGTTTCACAATTCCATTTCCGGTGGTTGAACCACTATCTTTGCGTGCATATCCGATTGATTTGCTTGGAATGCCAATGTCGCAATTGGAACTTGGCGAGAAGGCCTTCATCCTCGATGTGATTGGCCTACCTCTGCCAAAAAGGGTTGCAGTCCATGTGGAAAGAGAGGGTACCCTCCAATCTATCATCACAAAACTGGGCATCACGTCGACCTGCCAGACCAGAGGTACTTTGTGCTACCTGGAAGTGTCGAATAATGGCGAAGTGAGATATTGGTTGAATGAGCAAGTCGTTGATGAACTACATGGTACGAGTATGCTGCTCCGCATCTCCACTGTTCAAGCTTGCAGAGATGGTGAGTTGGATAGAGGACTTGGGCACCTGCCAGGAGATGAGACGACATTGTTCCAGCCAGCCCTCCACCAGAGGATGATGCAGCTTCCAACTACATCTGAAACCAATGTTGGGGGGGACCAATTTGAGATGATGATACAGCAGAATCTTCGATGGCATGAGCTGAGAAGAAGGGTTGCAAGATTGACACGATTCCTGCAATTTGATCATTTGCGAGACGAGGCAATGGCCTTCCGAGCTGCTAGAGGCCGGTGGCCAGATATTGTCCTCTGTGGCGTTATTGCTGATGAGACTTCCTTTTGGAACCTGGAGATTGATGGTATGCTCGAGTTAGCATCTTTTGACAAAGAAGAGGTGCAAACACTACTGCGAGACTTTGTTGAGCCTCCTGTTTCACAAGAAGGAAGAGTGACAATGGCAGCTGTCAAGCCGCTACCCACAGTACATGAACAGAGTGGTCAGGACGACCTCTATGTCATAGTTGGAGAAGAGCTTCGACCTGATGAGGTTTTGGCTTTGATAGCGGTATGGGACTCTAGAGTTGAGTTGGAAGTTGAACTCCATCCTGTTGAGCTCCCCTCTCGCATGACGACTGCAGCACTATTGCAGTCCTTTGGATTGGAAAGCCGATGCTCTCTCCCCTTTCTGGACTGTGTTGTTTCTCATTCCGGCATGGAGATGCCCAGAATCTTCTCATGGACGCCATTCCAAGGTATGAAGATTGTCATTGAGATCAATGTGAGGGCATGTCCGCTGCCTGAGGTGACCTTCCGCACTCTCATACGACCGCCACCAACGACAGATGATGAGGAATATTCTCTGATGCAACTGCACACTTTGGTTGATGAAACACTGAACCGAGTATGGGAGTATGCACGGGGCTGGACCCGGGGTCGCTTGGAGATCACAGTATGGATGCTTCTACAAGGAGAGCGGAAACAGCCCTTTCCTTCCATTGCTGTATTCGATGTCCAGAGAGGCCTTTGAGCTATATTGCTATTGACCCTCCACCGATCTTCATTGCCTTGCCGAGACCGCACATCTTTGCTGCGCAAGCACGTGCCCAGGCAGATTCTGCTGTCCTGTGCCGAGTACAGGGAGACCGGCATGACCTCCTGGCAATTCTGGTTGATACTGCGCACCCCCCCAGTTGGGGTTGATGTACTCTTCGATCTAGCTGTGCCAGGTCATGGATGCCGAGAATCTGATCTGTGTTATGCCATCATCTTTGGTGGTCGCAAAGCTTTCCACCATGATGTTGAACTGACTGATGGGATTTTCGTGCAACTATTTCTGTGGGAATACGAGACAGAACAGAGCACCTCGTGCGGTAGCCCATCTCCCCGCACAGAAGGGTCACATCATGATAGTCTCGATGAACTGATTGTTCCCTATCCCCTGTACGGAGCGAATGATGAGATCCATGACGAATCAAGCATGATGCAGTCCCAGCAGAGACTTGTACCTGATGACGGATGCACAGCCCATTCGCAAGAGCGATTGATGCGATGTTCAGAGATGGGACTGTCCTGGCTGGTTCCTGCTCGACTCCATCAACAGCAAATGTACAATCTCTGGAAGTACTCTGGCCGAGACCATGTAAGAGAGTATTTTATTCGACAAAGGTACCTTGGGTCGGGCCTGAGTATCCGAGGGTGGCTCTTCCACGACCACCAACAAACCACTGGACAACCTTTTGCCTGGGGTTTGACTGATAGTACTCCTTGGGCGCACCAGACAGGACATCTACTTCGTGGAACTGCCCTTGATGATGTCCTCATGTATACGGTGGTCCCACAACCAGAGGACTTCCAGCTGACACTGCCTGATCCGGCCAGTATGCAGATCATCATCCCATCATTGATCACGGACCATCTATTCCAGATCTTAGTTGTGGAACATGATTTCAGTGGCACACAGTCTAGGCAAGCGCTGCGGTTTGAAGTCCCGATCACTGTCCGACAAGTTTTTCAAGCCAGTGGTTTCGGATGCTTGTGTGATGCAGAGACCCGTTGCACGCTGCAATACATGCATGGAAATTGCCAGAAAGTCTTCTCAGATGAAGAGGATGTCTTACTGCCCTTTGCTTCTTTCGTGAGGATCATGGTGCATTGGATACCTTCTTTACCGTGCACGCCATTCCGACCTTTGGTGGCGAGTGATGTTGTTGCCAGACAGGTGGCGGCGGCTGTGCACCCCGCTGAGACCTTTTCCTTTGACCGGGCGGTCCGCCAGGCACGTGAAGTGCTGGCACATGCAGCAGGAGACGATGAAGAAGATGATCTCTCCACGCTCATGCAACGGCCGGCAGCTGGGAGCCATGGGTTTTCGGATGAGGATCAACATGATAACTCGCTGACATCCAGAGAGACTGCTGGCACTTTCTATGTTTCGAACGATGTGAATCCTCAACAGAATAGAGACAGGCCCCAGGTTGGAATTGAATGGATGGTCGATGCGCACCAGGTACGAATGTATCTTCTAGAGTATGCCTCGGCCAGACAGAGACCAAGGAACTTTGACCTTGTGGTCCATGTTCTTTTTCATTCATTCGGGCACACGAGAGTGTCAGCAGCTTGCTGTCCACAATGGTTATTGCAAAATGATGTGCCGGTCACTAGATTCCTTGATTGGTGCCAGGAGTACACAAGGAGGTTGGACGCACGTCATTCAAGACTCTTCCATGCGGTCGGTGAAATCTACCAGAATATGCCGACATTGATTGTTGCCTATTCGATGGGAGATTTCACCATCCCTGTTATTGTGCAAGTTCTTGACCCTGATTCCACGAGCCCGCCCTTTGTTGCTGTCTACCTTGCTGGACCTAGTGTCTGTGTTGCGACAGTGGTTGGATGGATCCGTGAGCAGATGGAGCTGGCCCCAGCTGTCTTCAGATACAATGGGAGACAGGTTGCGCGGCGTGAGGTTCTCAACCTAGTGGCAGGAGGGATTTTGCAGATTCGGATCCTGAGTGATGAAGAGCTGAACAACCCTGACACCTTTACCCAAGAACCAGGACCTGGGATGACTCTGACATTTGAGCCTCACAACACCTGGTCTTCTACTGGGTCGAGCCTGCATTATGATATACCTCAGCATACGCTTGGCCATCTATGAGACCCTATGTGCCTGCTCCATATCCTGCTGATCAAGAAGGGTACCCTCTGCCGCAACAAGAGGATGAGGAGACCACTTTCATCCAACGAAAGACGACTTTCAGGTTAGTGCCGGTGGAGGAAGCGCCCAAGGATGAATCGACGAACAACTCTGTTTATGATGTGAGTCCTTGGATGCTGGGAGACAACACTGCAACTCCCACCCATGGAAACCAGGAACATTGGCAACACCATGGGACATCAAGAAACGCTTCTGGATATGACTGGTTAAGGTTTGGACGGTTTCCCTTTTGGATCCAACGGCCCCTTGATCGAGACCTCCAGACGCATTGGATGCGATCCCCATCAGAAGGCCTACGGCCACCTGGAAATCCCACCTGCTGGATGAATTGCAACCTTGATGAAATGGACGATTGGGCGATGGTGGGAGGAGTTGAATTCGTGACTGACTCCAATCCCTCTACCCTTCATTGGGGACAAAATATGGGCTGTCTGCCTGTTGAAGATGAGGAGCAACCATGCAAGATTTCTATCTTCGAGGCATTGCACCCTCGCGATACGACTACCTCCCCAGCCTTCCAGGTTGAAATGCCAAGCTTCGCCCCCTGGATTGAGGCCGTTTTTGTCAAGCGACAGCTTCCGAATGTGTCGTGGAATGAAATCATGGAGCACCTCGACACGGACATAGCGGACGAATTTTCCAATGTCAGTCTGGAACGACCCCAAGATGTACCGTATGTCGAGATTTATACAGACGGTTCCTTCTCGAAGGGCAAAGAAAAGCTTGCCTCATGGGCATTTGTGGCCTTGTGCCAGGTCGGCGCCCAGAAGTACACGCTAGGAACGGATTATGGACTCGTTGACCCAGACCCACTGTCATCCGCATGGACGGGAGCTGGATCCTCGACAGCCAGAGAAGGGGAAAATGATGCATTGATCCGAGCCTGTGAATGGTCCTTTGCTATGGGCTATGAAGTGCCCCACTATTTCTATACTGATTCCACTGCAGCTGGGTATGGGGCCAGCGGTGCTTCTGGCACATCAGTAGATGATCTACAGGGACGCTTGAGTAGAAGCCTTGCGAAGGCATTGGATGCCTTCCTGTATATGACGGAGGTGCATCGTTCCCATGTCAAAGCCCATAGCGGTATTTTTGGCAATGAACTGGCAGACGCTGTAGCAAAATGGGCATTTCAACAACAACCTGAGGAGGTGCACCCACGTCCTGACTACACGGCATTACTTTGTGGACGCCGCATGGCAGTGGAGTTCCTATGGATGTTGTTTACTCCATTCTCTGACCAAACAAGCATGACACTCCCCCGATGGGATGGTTCAGCCATCCACTCGGGAAATCTGCAACAAGAGGTCGGAACTTCACATCGACTGCCCCCAACATTGCTTGATGATAGAGGATCCCAAGTGATCATGAAGCCCATTGAGCTGACAGTTGCAACATACAATGTCAACACTCTTGACTCAAAGAAAGGAGGCATGACTATTGGATTCCTACGTGAGCAAGTATTGTGGCATGACATTGATGTGATGTTCTTGCAGGAAAGCCGCACAAAGACAACACAACTGGCCCAGTCTGACACACATTACCGGGCCACTGCGGCGGCTGACCAGGGACAAGGTGGGGTTGAGACTTGGCTGCTTCGTTCGCGGAGACGATCAGGAGAGCAACTCTTCGATCGACGTTCGATTCATGCTCTTGTCGCTGAACCAGAGCTCCTCCTTCTGAAGGCAAGTTACAGAAGAACCAGTGTGCTTTTGGTCAATGGACATGCTCCACACACAGGAGCAGAGCCTACGAGGATAAAAGCTTTCTGGCAACGGCTTGGTGACCTGATCGAGAAGTACAGACACACGGTACAATACTACATCATGGGTGTTGACGCCAATGCTCATTTCTGTGACGCCTCCTTGCCTTATGTAGGATGCGAGGGAGTGGAGGAGTCCCAGAATCTGGCCGGAAGATGCTTCCTTCGACTACTTGCTCGAATTGATTGCTATCTTCCGAGTACATTTGAGGGAGTACATCAAGGGGAATCATGGACCTGGATCAGCCACGCTAATGGGGCTCAGGCAAGATGCGACTATCTCATGATTCCGCGGGAGCCCCAACCGGTGAAAGTTGAGACATGGGTCATTGACTCCCTTGAAACAGGACTACGAGCTACGGATCACCGACCTCTGATGATGAAGATACTATTGCCCAAGATTCGCTGCGTCTACAAAAGACCAAGATGCAGCTTTGACCGGAGGTCTTTGCAAAAAGCTACTGCTGCTGAAATTGATGAGGCCTTACGGGACATTCCAGGTCATTCTTGGGAGGAGGACATTGAAAAACATGCCACGACGCTCTCTGAGCAAGTGACCCAAAGCCTGGCCAAAGCCTTCCCAGCTGGTAAACGTGGGCCCAGGAAAAGCTATATCAGTGATGAAACGTGGACACTGCGTACTGCACGCATGCAAACCAGGTCAACGCTGCAGCAGGTACGTGATTGTATTGCCGCCCTGACAGTTCGTAAAATACTGCATGTGTGGTGCTACAAGGAGGTCTTGCTTCCTTCACAGCTTTTTATGGAAGGTATCCGGCATTTGGCAAAGGCCACATCGTTGCAGGCAAAGAGCCACCAAGAGGCAAAAGACTTCAAACGGGCCCTGCGAGCTGATAGGACCGCCTGGTTGGAGAAGATCGCAAAAGATGCACCGCAGATGTCGCAAAGTGACTTCTACCAGGCTATGCGCAACTCTGGAGTGAGGAGTAGGAAGAAACCAGGCCCCTTCCAGCCGTTGCCTATTGTCGAAGACGAATTGGGTGAACCAATCTTCGAGACCGACAAGCTCGCAGAGCGATGGAGAACATTCTTTGCTCAGCAGGAAGATGGGATTGATCAGACACCAACCCAGCTTATGGTACTATGTGATTCTCTGGCACGAATCCCGAAGCTGAGACCAGAATGGGATGATCTACCCAGTTTTTGGCAGATTGAACATCAATTTCGCTCCACAAAGGTCGCCAAGGCATTCTTCGAAGACGGGGTGCCTGGCGATTTTCTACACCGAGCGCCAGTTGCTGCTGCAAAACTTTTTTACCCACTCTTGCTGAAACAGGTGATGTTCATGCGTGAAGCGATGATATATAAGGGTGGCACCCTTGTACCTGTTCATAAAAAAGGGTAGAGTTGCGGACTGCTGGAACTATCGAAGCCTTTTTGTGAGCTCCCCAATCAGCAAGGCTTTGCGTGGCGTTTTTCGGAAAGAACTTGTCCAGGAGTTCAAGACCGTGAGGCTCCCAATGCAGATTGGGGGAATTCCAGGTTTCTCTATAACCCAAGCTGCCCATGTCATCCGATTATA